CTCTTTCTGCTCTCACTACTCTCACTTCTTTCATCACTCTCACTGCTTTTAGTTTGTCTTAATAAGATTAGTCTGATAAATGACGCATATGAAGTATCGAATTAAATTCGTATGAAGGAAATGCCGTCCTTAATAGACAGGTATAGTAGTGATGAAACAAACTGTTCGATTTAAACAAAATTTATCCAACTTAACTAAAGATATTTTTTTGTTTTATTTCATTATTTTTAAGTTAATGGCTGAATTTTTTCGCGTCAATGTTTTTTTCTGATTTCCTTTTAATAAATAGAATCGCTTAAAAAGAAAAGAAAAAATACACGCATATTCCCTATAGCGTTGCGTTTTAGACTTTAGGGAATTTTAAAAAAAAGACACTTTAATGATTAAATGTCCCCTCCAAATCACATTACATTAAAAAAATACAGGAATTTTTTTTATAGTACTAAAGTAGAATTTAAAAAGTTTGGTAAAAATTTAGCGTCATATGCATATTGCCTATTGACAAACTAATTAATCTTATTAGACAAACTATAACAAAGCGAGCTGACCGTGCCATCGAATGACGTCGAAGTACTCCGCGCTGGTGAGCAGCTCCAGCAGGAACTGCCACAGCTGGATCTGACCGTTGTATCCGGTGCGCGACGACACGTACACGCACTCCTCCTCCTTGCGGGAGCGAGACATCTGCATACAATGTTACAATTTTAATTAGCGGTTCTGTTGCTGACTTCGGCCGCGTTAAATTGTGATAATTTTGACCCCTATATGCATTATCCAAAAGTTAACCATTTTCAAGCAATCTTGATTTTCCGATTTTTTCTAAATAAGTCGAAATTACAACTTCAAAAATTTATTAAAAATAAAACACTATCGATGATAACTTATTTTTTTCTTCGGATTTTAAAAACCATAAATCACTGATTATTTTACAATATAAAAACATCATTTATCTGTCCAAATCAAAAATGCGAGCTAAATCAATTTTAAACCACCAAAGAACCATTTTACTTCAATATTTTGCGAGATTCTCAAGGTCACTGAAATAAAAACATGATTTCAAAGGAATCGGGCGGTATTCTTACTCGAAATAAAGTCACGGTTGGTTTTGAAAACTCCCATAAAAGTAATAAAAAAACATACACAAACGGAAAATAAACATTGCTTTTTTGCAATAATTTTTGTAATCGGTCCAATAATTTTTGAAATATTGCAAAGAGGTTAAGGAAAATGTCAAATTATACCTGTCTGACCTGTTTAGGTTTCTTCTTGATAGCGGAGTGCGGCGTCTCCAGTACGTCTTTTACAGGCTGCTCCTCATTCTGAACTACAGCTGGAACACGAATATCAAACATTAAAACAGATTACTAGTGTTATAAAAGAAAAGGTTTAGATAGTTAGATGTTTGTTAGAGTTTGTAGCCTAAAGTACTGAACGAATCTCAGTGAAATTTGGCATACATGTAGAGGAATCTGGCAGAACACAGACTAATTATATAGTTTTAATTCCGCGGACGGAGTCGCGGGAAGCGACTACTCATATTATTAATGCCAAAGCTTGGACAGATGGATTCACGTATTACTGCAGAACTGCAAGGACCTGGATAAAATTTTGTATAGATGTGGAATATAATCTGCAAGAACACTTAATTAAAAGTAATGAATACGAAAAATGTATTTATACTCACCAATAAATTTGCATTTCCTTAACAACTCAAAGTGGGTCCAGAACAAATCTCCCGGATCTGAGGGCACTTTCCGTCTGAAATTTTTAACAAACATATAACAGTTTATAAAGAGGAAAGATTTTTGAATTTCTGTATGTATAGAAATAACTCAAAAACTACTGATCCGATTTCAATTCATTCACCAACATAAAGCTACGTTATCAGTAACAGGCTATATTTTTAAAATTCACGTGGACGAAGTCACGAACAACAGCTAATTTGTAATGTTATGTAAAAAAATATTAGTAGATTGTAAAACTTTATTGGTACATAAATTAGTAAAGTACCTTTAATGTTTCTTATATAAAACAAACAAAAGACATAATTCGCTAATAGCAGAATATCCGCTATTTGTCGACATCCCGCATTTATAGCATTGCTTATCTATTTTTTACTTAATTGCCTTAATTACTAACTTGAAGTCAATATTAGTGATAGTACAGAGCTCCGCGCCGCTGATACTCCAGTCTGATAACTTGACCCCCGCCAAGTTGAACTGCCGCACCGCCCACTGGATCCACAACTTGACGTGCTGGACGGACCTACAATTACATTTATAATACAAATTATTAAACTAACTTTTAGCCCAAAACTCCACCGAGGCGGAATATAAAAACAAAACTTAATTAGTAGCCAATGTGGTTGTCTAGACTATATTCTATACTTAAGCCAAATTTTAATGACATCAGTTTAGTCATTCTGGTAATATCTTCTAAGAAATATCTATCCACCCATCTAGATTTAATAATCTATACTATTATAATAAAACGTAAACACACACTTCTTTGTTGCCTAAGATGTTAGCAATTAGTTGATTACAAACTAGTTTACTGGATGGAATAAGAAATTCACTCACCAGTCAGCGGGATCATCTGGTATATGAACCCGACTATGGTCAGCTCTGAACTGACCGTCCACTACCCACTTGACGGCTGCGGCGTGCGGCTGCGGAACCTCCCCCTCCACCTCCAACATACCCTCACCTTCAACCTCCCCCTCACCAGACACTGACATCTCACCCTCCACATTCCCTGCTGCTGATTGCTCCACTTTCATTTCTATGGTTTCATCTGAAAATTACAATTTTGTTTTACATTAACAGTAACGCGCAAATCAATCTGAGAATTAAATAAAAACTCTAACAAACATCCATCCATCCATAAACTTTCGAATCATACTAATATTATAAATGAGAAAGTTTAAATGGATGGATGGATGGATGGATGGATAGATGTTTGTTAGTGTTTGTAGCCTAAACGGCTTAACGGATTTCGATGAAATTAGGTATAGATGTAGAAGATAGTCTGGATATAGGCTACTCGCTTTTTTTTAATTTCACACGGTCGGAGTCGCGGGCGAAAGCTAGTTTATAATAATAGTAAGATCTACACTGATATTATAAAACTTATCAAATAGCTATACTATAACTGAGTAACTTAGGCTGTATTTATTACTAGATTTTTTTTATTCCGCTGACAGTTGCAGGTAAAAGCTAGTAGTTTATATAAATTTACTACTGCAAATAATGTTACACATAGGCACACTAAAATATAAGCTAGTTTGAATAGCAAAGTTAGAGTAGCCATGCAATGTATATGTACTATTTATTAAAAAAAAAAAAACTTACATTCTGTTTGTTGCGGTAATTGTACCAATTCTTCATCAGGTTTTAACACATCTAGTATATTGATCTTTTTCTCAGCCTGTTTGATTTGAATATTAACTTGCACAACACCTTCCCCTTTTATACATTGCTCAACAAGTGTTTTGTGATTTTCTAACTATAAACAAAATTATGGTAGTTATTGAAAAATTGGTTTTTCTAATTAATTTTTTCTTAATTATCCACTCACCATTTTAGCATCTTGGAGCCAAAAGGTGTAATCAGATAAATCATCTCCCAATCTTTGCTCCAACAGTGACCGAAGTCGGGACAATCTTGTTCTTATATCCATTAATTGTACTATCACCTCTCCTGAAAAAAATATACCATCTCTGTGTAAAGAGTAAAAACATGGTTGTTTTATGTTTACATCATCTACTAATGTAAAAAGGAAATATTTGAATTTTTCTATGCAATCTTCAGAATATCAGTGTGGCAGATGTCAGCTAGTTTTTTTTTTAATTTATATTGTTGTTTTTTTATAGGATTTTTGTTTATAGGAAAAATCAAAATCATACCAGAGACATCAGTGGTCGTTTCTTCATCTTCAGGAGTGTCTGAGAAATCTGCAAGTGCTGTTGGCAAGATTTCACCTCCAGTGTGTATTAACCCTGAAAGTTGGTAAAATTTAACATTTTCAGATATCACATCAATACTATCATCATCACCAGTTTACAATACATCTCCACTGAGCAGCTTGAAGCCTAGCCTAAGTGACTAGGTCATAGTCAACCATGCTGTCCCACTGCGGGTTGGTTGACTTCACACATATCTTTGAATTTACTTTAGTAAGAAAATTTAACAACAAGGTCATCATCAAGAATGCAGAGCTCTCCCTACATCCCTTTAAATCGCTACACCTAATTTTCTGCAGCATCTTGTATGATGAAAACTGTTGAGATAATGACAACTACCGCAGTAGTAACATTTAAAAACATTTGTATAAGGAACTTCTTAAAAGAACATAATATTGATAGGTGGGTTAATACAGACTAATATGGATGTTTGAAATAAACATGTCTTTTCTTTTTTATACTACAATTTTGTAACTGACCATAGATGTTTAAGTTGTAAGCAAAATGTTAGTTGCTCGGGTAAATACAATTGAAACAATATTTGCAGCTATAATTAATAAAATCTCTTCCTTGCCTTATTAGTCATATCCTCTTTATTTCAACTACAACAGTAACAGGTGTTTATCCTTGAATCTTGATGTGTCACATAAAACCCTTATGATATTCATATCATAACATGTATAATTATTTATAACTACTGCTAAAACTTTAGAACTTTCAATCGTTCCTTTTAGCGACAAACGTATATATTATCAATAATACATTTTCTCGTTTATGTAGATTTAGTTTACTTAACTTTGAATGAAAATAAACAACAAATGTGCAATGTAAATGATAAGTACAAAAAGAGCTATTTAGTGTTAAACTTACCTAAATCGGACTCAGTAACATATTGTGGTATACCAGAAAGGGGATCTGATGTTTCTACATCTTCAGTTTCATCTTCAAAAGAAGATTCACCCCCTTCCATTTTAATTGTAGACACATTTAATAATTCGTTTATATCAGACACCTCCATCATTATTATAATACTGTTACTTAGGTTCACATTAACACTGTTACTTAAGTTTTGCGAACAACTACATTAAACAAAATGTTTGTAACTTGTATTGATAATGTTTTCCTGTTTAAATTTCTGCAAATTATAACATTTGAAAATAATAGGAAAAGGAAATTGGTTACAGTTCCTCTTCCGCGTGCGCCAAAATCAGAAATCCATAGACAAGATAAAATCAAAGATTATAAAATTATATTCTGGCACGTTATTCACCAGTTCTAGATAACAGTTTTATTGACCTTTTTAACGTTACTAACTAGTAGAGTATTGTCGTGTCCCTTTTATCTCTTGTTTATAAATGTAAAATTAAACGAACAAAGTAATTAACTTATTACAAAACTCGGAGTCAAAGATTTGTTTTTTGTTTATCCTAAAAAAATAAACCTAACAGAATTTATAATGTTCTATAACCATATAAAAGGTGCGCTACTTACTATCCTAAATGCAAAGGATGAAGGCCTTTGCCTTTATACATGCAAGGTTAACCTGGGACAGGGGATGGTACAAGCGAAAGTGAACAATTAACACTATGGTTTTAAATAAATAAATAGCCAGTCCTAATTCAAAACAGTACTTTATTTAAAAAAAATAGTAATAATAAAGGTGCGTTTCTGTTAAAACACAATTATAAACTAATTATTTTTTTAAGATATCTCCTAATAAAGCGGAGGTCTACGTCTTTCTGATGATTTTATGTAAACATTATTAATTATTTTTGGTGAGGAAAGGATTATCTTGAGGGTTATCAACCTTTTCGAATGGATAATAAGGATGGTTCTGCCAAAACGACGGCAAAGTATATCTCACGTTATTATGGAATTTGTTAATTTTTGCAATTTCATCCTGCTCCAATTTGAAATCGAAAATATTGATATTTTCCTTTAAACGTTTTAAGTTTGTAGACTTTGGTAGTGGCACAACGTTTCTATCCACCTAAAAATATATTTGATTTAAAATATTGTTATCAACTATTAAAATTATCATGACTGTAAACATTATAGTAAATATTTTACCTGCCATCTTAAAACGATCTGCGGCGTTGTTTTGTTGTATTTATTTGCAATTTCAACCAGCACGGGTTCATCAATTTTTGGCCCCGGAAATTGAATTCCGTATCTCATAACCAAAGAACCAAAAGGACTGTAGCCCATCACTACTATGTCCTCTGACTTTGCATACTCTATGATCTCAGTTTGTATAATTTGTGGGTGGACCTGAAAAAGTAATATGTATTATCTCACATTTTTTACAAAGATGTTTTAATATAGGTATACTATTATCACTACACTTGTTAGGAAGTCGAATTAATTTAATATAAATAACGATAGCAATAAATGCAATATAACAGGATTTATTTACCTCTACTTGAATCGCCACTGGCTTAATAGATGCTTCCTTTATGAGTCTCTTCAATTGGTTCAAGTTGAAGTTAGAGACACCTATAGATTTAGCGAGCCCCGATCTCTGAACATCTTCCAATCCTCGCCATGTTTCCATGAAGTCGACATCGGAGAATGTGTAATCATCCTGTAGATTATCATGCTATTAGGTATAGTGGAAGAAATAAAATCGCTATCCATTTCAGACAGAATAAAACAAAATTTAAAGGTTTGCTATGACAACTATTTGATCAACTACAACTGCATTGTTAACAATAAATTTGTTTTTGCGTGTTTACACTATTAAAATATTTGTACAAAAACATATTAGGATCTTTAAATTCTCTTTGTTCTGCAGATTTGTTTAAATTTGTATAAAATATAAGAGGCAGAGCGAAAGTCGTAGTTAATTTATATGTTACTTACATTTAATCCAATCGGCCAATGCATTAAAAACAAATCGACGTAATTAAGACCCATTTTGTTTAAAGACTGTTTTAATGCCAAAGGCACTTGTTCCCTTTTGTGTTGTGTGTTCCACAGCTGTAATAAACAATCAAATCAGTAACTACCCACAGCGCTGATTATTGTGTCACAGGAAATTTTTTTGGAGATCATTTTGGCGACAAACTTAGAACGTCCTATTACAAAAAGAATTCCTTATACTGTAGCAAAATTATGGCATTTATAAAAATAAATTGAATACGCTAGTGTAAATAAAAATAAATCACTAATACAAGCGAAGCCGTGTATAAAACTTAATGTTTACGAACATACCTTTGTTGTAACAAAGACATCGTCTCTATTGATGGCACCTTCTTCAATTTTCTTCCGAATACCCTCACCAATCTCTTCCTCGGTTTCATAAATGGCAGCCGTGTCGAAGTGTCTGTAGCCGATATCAATTGCATTCATAACAACATTGGCTAGTTGTTTATTTACTGATTTAACCACCCCGCCCTGTATTATACATATATCAAATATTAACAATCGTCTAAGTAGTTTTTGTCTGAATCAAATACATACAAAAATACAAATCTTTACTCTTAAAATATTAATATAGATAAAAAAAGGTAAATTAGTAACATAATTTCGGTAAAATTCTACTGCATTAAGTTTGTAACAAATAATATTGTTATAATGATTGTATTGAGCTATATAAGATCCCAATATTTGTTTTCGTTTATTTATTGTAAAAGTTATTCAATTAGTAAGGAAAAAATTATTAACAAAAGTACCTAGTTAATATTGTCTCAGAAAGTTATTTTTTGCAAAAACTGTATTCGGAGCGCCATTACATAAAATAAACTAGTACATCATACCTTATCAAATCCCAAATAAGTGCCCAAAGCTATTGCAGGCATCATTTTCCCGTTGTTAAGTTTTACCTTCGGTACTTCAACGCACATTATCCCTGACAGCGCCATCTACAATGTAAAAAATATAACATAATCTAGGGAACGCCTAATCTAATGAAAGTAATCTTTAAGTGTTCAATCAATTACAGTGTAAACACAAACTCAACTATTCTGTTAATTTCCATGAAAAGTGACTAAAATGTACTTTTGATTAACTTTCCTTACAACATCTCGTCTTTTTTTAATACGATTAAAGTAGTACTTAGTAAACAACGCCATCTGGAGTTTATACAGTTAAGTCGTAATAATTTATTGAAGGTATGCGAAGTTTAGTGAAGGGACACAAGAAGCATTCAACCTTGAAGAATACCATTGTATCTATGCAGCTTAATAAATAAAACATATATAATTACATAGTCTGCATATGTATTTCCGATTAAACCACATGAGGATATTTTATATAGTATTATAATAAATGACAATCTGAACACGATTTACTAGACTTCGTAAGAAACATAATTCTACGGTTATTTTGAATGTAGTAACAGATCAAAACGTATATTACATGTACTAAGACATCACTAGAATCCCTCTAATTATCGTACTTTGCGGGTATATTGCACAGTCAAATAATATTAACTAAACAGTACTGTTTTCTACTTATATAATAAAAAACTTAAAATTTAGAACCTATAAATATATACCATTAGGTGGATTATCAATTTACATTAAACCCTATGCTCTGTAAATTGTAGTATAACAATTTAGTCATAAACGTAAACGCATTTAAATCCGTTATTTTCAAATACCCTAAGATTATGAATATAAATTTAGATATTCAAAAACTGGCCAATATATAAATATATATCCATTTTATGTCCGTAGTTTAAAAATCATGAAATAAATACCATAATTCAATTAAATATATAAATGGAATGTCTACTTATAATTGCTCTTCGATAAATGTTTATGGGTATTCCTGATTTTAATTTAAAATTGATGATAAAAAAAGGAAATTAAGTAACATCTAACGAAATATGTTAATAATAAGCTTAACATTTAAATAGTACAAAGTAAAGTACTCACCACAGACCACAGAGCGAACAATGCTGAACAACCGTTTCTCGCCATGGTTGACACCGAGACTAATTATTTGTGCAATTATTTCGACCTACCGCATTTATTTAAATCTTACGTTAGACCCTATTTCCACTAGACGTTTTGCCGCGCGTTTTTGTCTTTTGACAACTGTCATTTAGAAATCGCGTGAATAAATGCGACTCGACACAAAGTGCAACGATGTACAATACAATGCACATTTTATGGTTTTTAGAAGATGTAAATTGCCCTTGAAATTATAAAGTTTCATAGTTTACTAAGATTGTACGTTAACCCGCGCTATCGTACTCTTTGTTTACATTAACGATATCTAATACAGCTGTAAAACCTGTCAACCAGTAATTTGAACTTTATCGTTATGTTGTTTGTTTACAATTTGGTCGTAGCACACTTCATCATCAACATTGATTGCGATACCGCAACGGCCATATGGCATCATTCTAAATCGATTCATCTTCATCCTGCTACCGTAGAATCGACGCAGCGGGTTTTTGTCCTCCACATAACTCTATCATACGTCATCTATGATCACTCCTTTCTTGATCATGTCACCGTTCACGCAGTCCATTTATCTCTTTCTAGGTCTACCGGTATACCTCATAACGAACATTCTCCTTGTTACATGCGATTCATCCCTCCTCATATTATGCCGATACCATGCTAATCTTTTACTCCTTACCTTCTCTTCCACTGGGGTTACTTTTAAACTTCGTCTAAATAAATTGGGTATTAAATAAAATATAAAATATCTCATAGACACTTTACTTCACTCACAATAATAAATCATTACAAATAATACTAAAGCACCTGTACAGCAAATCAAACGGAATGTATCAAATAATAATAACCAAGAAAGTTATAGACGAAACGCTTTCAAAAAATGCAGAATAGTTATTTTTAACTTATTAAATAAAACATCATTATGATAAAAGCCAATCGAAAATATTCATGTAGGTAAGAAATATTCTTTGACATAATTCTAGTTTACATTATTCAAGTCCAGCGCTGGATTCGGTCGTTGGACTTGAATGGTGTAAGCTGGATACATCCCGGTGGCGTTTCTCAGTCTATAATTTTCGTTAGTTTGCTTGATTGTATGTATGTATAGATATATACGACTTATAATATATTAAAGCGACATTATTGGCTATTCACGTACACACGTATATTATTATGCTTCACATATATTTGTTTTAATTAATCAAATTAATATTTAAACTAAATCTAGACTTACATTTTTTTTAATCTGTAGGTAAAATTCAGGCAAACACAATATTAATTTTGAATTTCGTTTACACAGTTTAGCCACAAATTTAAATCTGTTACTAATTAAATTAATTAATTTCTTTTGATAATTACAACAAATATATAGAATTTATCTTGTACATGAATTATCTATTATGTATAATAAATTGAATTTCTAATCTGTACGTTCGATATACATATATCTCTAGGTGCTAGCTAATGTGCTATCGAAAAATAAGTTTCCTTAATATTAGTTAGGTACATTATATTTTTGATGTGTTTGATAATCACAAAAATTGAGAACACATAATGGTCAAAGTTAGTGTTTAAAGTACAGAAAATAACAGGTTTTATATTTACGACATATACAAGGCAATTTTAATTCTAATAAGATTAAAAAATACTCAAGAAATTGTAAATTATGAGAAAAGAATTTAATTTCAATAAATTAAAATAATAAAAATGAGATAATAAGAGATTACTCAATTATTCGTAATCCATTAAAGCTTTTATAAGATTGCTTAACATTTCGCTAAATCAACATTGAAACTTAATTCGTTACGCTGTTATTAACCTGATTTCCTAAAATATAACTATCTGTGGTTATATGAAAATATAACGTAAAATTGATAAAACATAGTTCAGTTTAAACCAAAAGTTTACTGTACGAAAATTTGAATAATCTTTTGTATAATTGAATATAAAATAATATTATTTAAACTACGTAATATACAATCACATACACTTTCTACACACACGTAGTGATATGAAATCCATAGACTATACAACGCGGACAGAGAGGACAATAACATCTTTGATAAAAAAAAGTTCTTTAACTTTGAAGAACAATATTTACGATGAATAAACTGTATTATCTTAGAATTCTTAGTAACATTAAAAAATATTGTTCTGTTTTATTAAAACAAAATTAGAGAAATGATTATGCTTTATGCAAACTTTATAAAAAAAGGATTGAAATTATTTTTAATAATACTAATAGACTTCATATCACTAAAAAGCACTTTTCTCACGACATTTCTAATCCTACTTTTACGTACAACTAGATACAATATTTATTTATCAATTTTCTTCCACTTTATCACGAGATTGGTTTTGCTAGTGACATTTTCATATAAACTATGATCCCTACGTAACTATCTTATGCAAACTAAAGCAATAATTAAACTGGCAATTTGTGAACTCTAAATTTTAGCTATTAAGCTCTACGACCATTATTATTAATGTATACTATTAATTTTCAAAATAATCACTATTCATATTAGTGTGAATAATTTAAACAAAATAATTCTATAATATCGATTTTTTAACTACCCCTGAATGCCATATTAAATTGGAACAATATTAAATTTAGCAGATTTTTGAGTTAAATTAAAAATATAATTTCGATAGAAACAGTATGTATACAGAACAATTAACTTTCACAAATTTCTGATTAATAACGAAAATAGTTAAAAAATGATCGCATCATATAATTTTATAATACATTTTTGTATCTATATTTGGCTATAATTACATGTGTCAAAATATTTAAATCAATTCCGTTTTGATTTAATACATTTCTATTTAACTATTGTTAGAAAATTAGTACCGCGCTATAGAATTGGCGCAACACTAGATTATTGGCATAAACGTCACATCTCTAAGTGACAGCTGTCAATGTCATTAGAAGGATGGATATATTCGCGCGCATTCCTGACAGGACGGCTAGTTCAATGTGTTTCAGTGTTTAAATTAATATCGCTAATAACAATTATAATAATTGTTTAAAACTATTGATATAAAAGTAATACATGTGTTAATACAAACTTGTGCAGAAATAATATGTGCAGCAGCATTCTTAAAATTACAATACTAATATATTAGATTTCGTTGTTTAACGTAATCGCATTATTTTGGCAAAAAATAATACAATCATTGTAAGAAAAATTAATTTAAAACAAATATAAGTGTAAGAGCCTGTCCCACTTGTAAATTGTCTGATAACAATTAAACATATAAAATATGTGATGGAAATATCAGATTTTGGTACTCTATTTGACATTGACGTTACTTTTAAGCTATCTGAGCCTCTATCAGCCAGTGGTGGGACAGGCCCTAATAAAAAATAATATGGCAGCACCGTATAAAATATGGCAGTTGAGAAACGCAAAAGATTTTATTAACAAAATATTGTCATGGAATTGTGTTATAATTATATTTTTACATGAAATATAATATTCAGTAGTATTTATAGTCAAACAAATCTATCTGACCTGGTAAAATGTGTATCAATTAGTTTTGGCATAAAATATATAAAACCTTCATGGATAGAAATAAAAACCTTTTTTATAAATTCAAGGGTGCTATAGACCTACAAGGATGAATTAAAAATGTCTTCTTGAAAGCGTCACATTTCGACTAATAAGAGAGCGACAACTGGACTGAGAAATGTCGCCATTCTTACATTTTTAAAATTCAATTTCAAAAATAATTAGCAAATACTTTGGTTTTGTTTTCAACATGCGAGAATTTAAAAATGAGATGGGATTTTTTGTTTACTAGTTACTATAAAATAGTAGACGGCACCATGTCTATGTCAAAAATGCAATAAGATCCTTGTAGGTCTATAGTGAGCTATCGTAATTTAAATTTCTGTTTATATTTCGAATGTAGTTATATTTTTTTATTGAGATATGTCATCCCTTACAATTCTCTTTAATAAGAGAGACATGCACACAGTACTCAAAATTACAGGAAGGTGCAAAGAATGACGTCAAAGTTCAGGTATCATGTTATAGTAAACGAGTGGAGAATTAAAATAAAAATTTTAATTCTACTTCTATAAAGATATATGGAAGATGGAATGGTTTAAAAAGGTAGCTATAAAAATAGGTTTTTATATGAATATGGAATGCAACAAGATAAAAATATATCGAATATGAGAATTTCCACAAATTAGGTATTGATGTAAATAATAGATTGTGTAAACTTAATTGTGAAATATGAATGCTTTAAGTACAATTAAATCGAATCACTCATTAATTAAATTTTAAAATTAAATTAAAATCGAAAAAACTAATATCAGATTTTTTAAAATAATGTGCAAGAATGAATTATTGGTGTAAAATGGCTTTTCCACAATAGTCTTACAAAAAGAAATGGAATTTTAAAAATAAGTTCAAATTGCCTTGAATAGAAAAATATACGAATTGTACATACGTAAGTAAGGAACAGCGTAGACAAGGATTTAAATAGGATTTTTCTATACATTTATGTAGCTCGTACAAAAGTGGTAAGTTAACGCCGTAACGGCCGAACACTGAAACGATATATCAATATGTGAGTGTCTTAAGCAAGAAGACCAAGCGTAAACTGCAAATCCCATTAAAAATTTGACATCTGTCACATTGTCAGCTATTAGGAAACAAAGTTTTACAAATCGTTTCAGTATTTGGCTGTTAATAGAAACTGGACATCATGGATTATTCTCACTTTTACAATTATTACATCTTATTTTGTTAAGGTAATTTTCAAATTAACAAAATAAAATTATTTTAAGTCATAATACTTAACTTTATTACAGTGACAACGAGAATCGAATTCAGAGGTTGGTTGCTAAAACTAAATTTATTTTACAAAACTAAATACTTCGGCTATCTTACCACCTTCCATTGAGTATAAAACATAGTGAAATATCAAAGAAGTATAATAAGATTCAAACTTTATGGCGGCTCGGTGAGCGTGTGTTTTCACATATCATACATTTAAAAAATCCCTGCCGTGACACTTGACACATGTTGTCTTTGTTTTATAGATAAAAGATCACTTAGAAGAGAAGAAAGAAGAAAGAAGAACAAACTATAAAATTGATAAAATAAGTGTATATTATAATAAAATCACAGACAAGATGATTTTTTTCTTTTATTTGTCCCGAAAATTCAAAGAAATCGACCGATTTTAATAAGGGTTTTACTAGAAGAGTTTTTGTCTCTGAATATAGTATGTATTTTCTTAATTTAATTGTCACAGTCGCGGGCGACCAAGTTACAGTCACGGCATTCAAAACTCACGCATCATCGAGCGTACATAAAGTTTGCATGGCACTGTACACAGTAATATTCTACCGTGCGGCGTCGTACTGCTTCACGAGGTCAGGTATAGCGTTGGGTTCCACAGGTACTCGCGACATCAGCTCACTCAAGTTGCGCACGTAACTTAACTTGCGGAAGAACTTTGAACTGTAAAAAATATATTACAGATGAATTCTGAAATTCTGAAACGATATATATAACAATCGTGAGAGTCGAGATTAAATAAAAGGAAGGGGGAATAAAAAGAATCGGAGGGATAACAATGCGCTGCACTGATTACCTTGAGTAAGGCCAAGATTTAACTCCAAATAAAATTTAAACGCCTGATGTAAACGGAACTTAGGAAACAACATGTTAAATATTCGTTTCGGCATTTGGCTGTGAAATTCGCACACAGAATTATCCTCCCTTAGTATGAGATATCAATATAAGATACCTTAGTGACCAAGGAATACCCGGAACAAATGCAGCTTGCGGCAGAATTGCGGCAGAAAAAAAAATAATCCGGATTTCGGCAAATACATCTTCCCGAAATCCGGATTATTTTTTTTTTATTATTAGACACTATAGATTCAATGTATTTCGATTAAAAAAGTGCATAAACCAGCGCCATATTGTGACGTAACTCTCGTTTTCCTTGATATTATAGTCATTAAAAAATCAAATCTTTTGAGCAATGGAAGGTTACAGATAAAACATTTAATATTTTCACTCACCTGACAAATGGTTTTGTTATAACAACGAATGACTTCAGCCAGAATGTTGGATGCACCAGGTACAAATGTTTCAGACTTTTTCTTAATCTGTAAAATTAAATATACAAACAATTAATAATTTATAATTATAAAATCATAGAAATCATTATGGAGAAAAGAAGCCTAGAAAAGAACTTGTAGTCATAGCATACTTTAAAAATTTATGCAATTCTTTTTAAATAGATTGCTCTATAGACAACTATAGACTAAAGATTGTCTACATTTGCCCATTATATTTAGACCTCTATACAAAATAACCATTTATAATTGAAGAATCTGAATTGTACTCTTCGGAGCATCATAGAATCATATTTTTTTTTTATATTATTTTTTTATAACTAATTATTTTACGGCTATTACTCGCGTCTATTTTTTTTTCGGTGCCGCAACCCTAATATAATCATACTAATATAAATGCGAAAGTTTAGATGGATGGATGGAGGTTGATTAGAGGTTGTAGCCTAAACGGCGGAAAGGATTTCGATGAAATTTGGTATAGATGTAGAGGATAAACTGGAATAATACATAGGCTACTCGCTTTTTTTTTTAATTCCACGCGGTCGAAGTCGCGGGCGAAAGCTAGTTAGTTATAAAAATGTCTCACGAAAGTTTAAATAATTTATTAATTCCTTATTTAATTGGAGAAATTGAGAAGCAAAAGGTTAGCGTGGTATGGACATGTTGTGCGACGAGACGATAGGGACATAAACCAGAAAGTGTTAAGAATGAATGTGGATGGCTACAAAGGAAGAGGAAGACCGAAGAAAGTATGGATGGATTGTGTGAAAGAGGATATGCTTAAGAAAGGAGTAGATTCAGATATGACGGCTGATAGAGATGTATGGAAGAGCAGCACATACTGTGCCGACCCTCCGTAAGGGATAAGGGCAAGTTTATGATTAATTTTTTATTTACCTTCTATCAATAAGTTTATAGCACTCATGCAGCCAGGCGAAGGTGGGCAGCCGGCGGCGAGCGGCGCTGCCGTGCAAGTACACCAGCACGTACTCGTCCGTCACTAAGCGTTCCAAACTCCATATTACATACCTGAAATTATACAATTATCACTTATAAAACAATTATATAATTATCAACTCACTACGTCCCCACTAAGAAGCTCGAAGCGATTAAAAAATAATTTATACTAATATGAGTAAATGAATGTGTATATATTTATTGCCACAAAAAGAAATTACATAAATGGAATTCAAAAGAAAATATAAAATAGTGGCAAAAAGTAAGCCGTTCCTGTGCAAGTTTTCAGCTGTCTGCGAAGATGTTAAAGCGGTCTCTACCACTGTTGAACTAAACCTAGAATTATGGTGTTTCGATGTAAATATAGATATAGACATAGTCATAGATAGAGATATAGACATAAATATAGATATAGATATAAATAAACAGTATCATTTACTTACAGGAACAAGTTATCCATAACATATCTGTAGTCCGCACGCGCGGTGTCCGGTAAGTGACAGGCGCTGAAGACTATGATGGCCGCGCCGCCCGCCTCGTACCCGCCGTGCGATAACACACGCTTGTAGGGTTCTATCACCTATATGATACCAAGACTGTAGCAATTTGAGGTACGGCGGAATTATAGGGAGGGCGGAATAAAATAAATATTTTTTGCCCTTGAAACACGAATTAAAGGTCTAAAAAAAGGGTTTCCATATATCAAACTATACCTTAGTTTGTTCGGAAAAGTTTAGATACTCATAGTTTGTCTTAAACTATGAGCAAGCCATTTAAAGGGAATTTAAAAAAAATTAAAAAATTGAAAATTTGAAAAAAAATTAAGATTTTAAAAAATTTACGTAGCTTCTTTGGGTCTTAAAAACTTCGAAAAATCATATAGTGATCGTATAATTCTTTACAGTTGCATATATTGTATACTGCACAAAATGGACATAAGGGTTAAAGAATGGGAAAGTGGGGTAACAATTACAAATAAAAAACTACATACTATACATTAAAAGAAAAGGCACTGAAGAAAACCGCGAGCTGGTCATCAATGAGTTGTATTACCTTCATATCACAGGTGGAGTTCCGCCCGGCATGCTGCACGGTGAGCCACGACCTCTCGTCTTGCAACTCCTCGGCCGCGGAGTACTCCGGGATAGGGTCGCTGCACTCGCTCGCAGTGTTCGTTGACTTCGACCTGCTGGATATTTTAATAATATCATAAACTAGCTGTTGCCGGCGACTCCGTTCGCGTGGAATTATAAAAAAAACAAAAGCGAGTAGCTTATGTGTTCTTCCAGACTATCCTTTACATCTGTACCAAATTTCATCGAGATCCGTTTAACAGTTGAGGCTACAAACTCTAACAAACATCCATCCATACATATAAACTTTCGCATTTACATAAGTAAGATAAGACAGTTTAAATAGATGGATGTTTGTCTAATCAGCTAAACGGATCACTACGACATTTGGCATACATGTAGCATAATCTGGAAGAACACATTGGCTACTCACTTTTGTTTTTTAATTCCACGTAAACGTAGTCGCGGGCAAAAACTCGTGCTTTAATAACATTATTTAAGTAATAAATTGTAACAAAATGTAGTCAAGAATCTGTCAGGAAAAAAATCAGTGTAAAAACAGCTTTGGAAAATCAATTCATAACTGTTACTTCAATAAATAAATAAAATGATCTAATCTTCATTTATTACTTTTTATTTGACCACCCACTATGTATAGAATAGTTTTGAAAAACAGATAGACTACTTACTTAATTAACGCAGTGGCAAACTGTGGTTAAATAACTCAACCTTTCGTATATGGGCAGCGGTCGCATCGCCAATTTGGCAATTCACAGATTCGCAATAGTAGATGCGGTGCCTAGCCTTAATCCACGAAGGAAAAGACACAAATGAAGAGGATATATCGTCCTATGCGTCTCCTCCACCTTCAAATCTACAATCCCTTCCCATCCTTCTCTTGTAAGAAAAAGGGTGGAAATGAAAAGGAAATGCGGAATTGCTCCAACTTCACGACTGTTTTCTGTGTGGTCGTGGTATTGCTGGTGGCGAGCCAGCCCATTCGTGCGAAGATGTTAAAGTGGGCTCTACCACTGTTACATGAGCTTACCTTTTATCATCAGCCTCACTATCCGGTTGAGCAGGCTCCAGGGGAGGTTCCAGTTCTGGTGGTTCATCCTCCGACTCCAATGAACATGCACTGACACTATCTGAACTGATTCTGTCTTCGTCCGGTGGCTAAAGAAAAATGAAACATCATGTAGACATAATTAAATCGGTTTACATACAAAATTCGGTTAAAGACACATAGGCCAGTTTGTTTCATTCATAATTAAAAATCTTACATAACACTAGCTTTACCTCGTGACTTTGTCCGAGTGGAATTTAAAAAATAGCCTGTGTTACTCAGTGGTACTACATAGCTTTTAATACAATTTATGTTTTCTGTTTTAAAATTCCGCGCGGAATTCACGGACAAAAGCTAGTATGCAAATGTAAAGATCATCAGCTATTACAACTGAATATTACCTGTCCCTTCTATGCAGTTTTGAGTCTATTTATAAAGATGATCAAACTATACAGGTGTTCTAATTGAAAGTTTTCCCCATTATGAGTAAACATGCTTTACATAAGTGATTAACAAAATATAATTATACACATACCACAAATATTTTTCTCCGCATTGGTCTTGAGTTGGCTTTCGTATCAGTTCTTTGTCGGAGTGCAACACAGCCGGTGTATGGGTCGAGTAGCGCCTGGTACGCAGACTTGTCTTCTTGCGTTGATGATGATATCACATCGGGGGATTCCAAATCCTACAATAACTATTTAGTATTATCCTCCCTTTTACTAATTCAAAGTCCAAATTCTAAGCAAGAATATTATATCCAAGACTAGATTTTAAAAAAATCTTGTAGTTTAGTAAGTTTATTAGACTATTTTAATAAGGCTTTAATAAATCAGGCAATAATTATTTTAAAGTAGTAAGTTATTGTAAAACTTGTATGTATTTTACTGCTACTATTAAAGTATTTAGGCATTGGACTAAACTATCGCACAATTGTCGTTTATTTCACACCCAAATCAACTTTCGTACAACTAAAAACATACAGACGAATTGAGTACCTCTCCTTCTTTTGGGAAGTTGATCAAAAATCAAGTAGTGTGCCCACATCCATTACAACTCTTTGGAATCAAGGCAAGACTTAACAGTTGTGCGATAGTTTAGTTTCAGGTACACGCTCTTAAGATACACTTACATTTTGTATGCCAATAGTACTAGACATCTCAATTGGCAATTCAAAATTTGGTATAGACCGTAACATAGATGGAGATTCACACCAATCTGCTACCTGTAACAAATGCCAAAATTACATATCATCAAATTATTGTTTCATGTTATTTTATGAAATACTTGTTGTTACTCGCGACTGTCTATTTGGAATTAAAAGTTTGTGAGTTATTTCAATACACAAAAATAAAATACAAATCTTTTTTCTTTATTATATTGTTAAATCTGGTACTGTACTTTGTGAAAGTGTGCATTTTAGATCATGTATTCTTAATTACGTCCTGTAAAACTTTTAACATCTAGGTGTTAAACAATTGACTTACTGAAAATAATGTGGGCAGGAAATAGAAATTCTCAAAGGTACATAAATAAGTAAAATTTCA